CTGTACAGTGGGCATTTCTAACCCAAGTGTGGTGGCTTGGACGAGATGTCCCTCACAGGCCTCAGGCATTTGAATACTTGGCGCCCAATCTGTGGCTTTTTGGTCCTCACCAAACAGGTGTGAGGACAGATGCGGAGACCCAGAGCCGAACATTAGGCCAAGCTTGGTAATCCTGCTGAATAGAGGGAGGAAGGACTGTGGCAGTCAGAGGGGTCAAGGACACCCCATGAAAACCCACAGAAGCAACCAACCTGGCTCATAGGAATTCACAAACTCTGAACCAACAACCAGGGAGCCTGCAAGGGCTGGACCTAAGCCCTCTACACATATGTGACAGTTGTGTAGTTTGGTCTTCTTGTAGCACTCCTAACAGTGGGAACAGAGGCTGTCCCTAATGCTTGGACTGGCTCTTAGGAACCTATTCCTCATACTAGATTGCCTGGCCTAGCCTAAATACAAGGGGAGGAGCTTAGTCCTAAGACAACTTGATATACCATGCTTTGTTGATACCTATGGGAGGCCTGCTCCTGTCTGAACATTAACAGAGGAGGAGTGAGTGGAGGGTGGTGGTGGGAATGGGAGGAGAAGAGGGAGGGTGAACGACTCAGGATATAAAATAAATAAATAAAATAAAAAAGAGGTGCGGCCTCGCTGAAGGACGTGTATAACTTGGAGTGGGCTTCGTGGTTTCAAAAGACTCATGCCATTTGGAGTCAGCACTTTCTTCCTCCTGCTTGAGGTCGGAGATGTAAGATCTCAGCTGCTGCTCTATTCATCCACTGCCTTCTACACCCAATTTGCCATTCTGGACTCTAGCTCTCTGGCAATGGGAGTCCCAAATAAACTTTTACAAGTGTCCTTGCTTATGGTGTTGTAACGACAAGGATAATAAAGTCACTAATATATCAACCAATCCAGACATGCTCTCATGGGGATTCTTTGAAGGTTTTTAGATCCCATCAAGTTCATGATAAGATTAACTGCCATATACCACTTTTAGTTTCAAATTGTGGTTTAAATATTTATATTAATCTTGTTTATAGAAATGACTTTTGCAGGATAATTGAACTGATATATAATTGAAAACACCCATCTTATATGGTCATTACAAATAATGGAGCAAAAGGCCTTTTTTGTAAACAAGGTTGGTCCAGTGTCTAATAGTAAGTTTGTTCAACCCAGAATAGAGATTTTTTTTTTTAGTAATGTAATTCATTTGGCATGTAAATTTTTTTCAGAGAATTGGGCAATTAAAACCAATAGTCATTTTTAATAAATGTTTTGAGATCATTTCTTTTCATTTCCTTGTGTTTTTATAATTCTGACATCACACTCTTTGATATGGGCTAGCATCAGTTTTCCTGTTGTTAAATTCTTCACAGTTATTCATATGTCACTAATTATAACTCCATTCTAATCATGCTGTTTGTCCTTAAGATTCCAGCTTGCATCTGTGAGCAGACTTGCAATGTTTCTAGTTCTTATGCTCTACAGGTTGTGCCTGTTGAGGTAGGTTTCATTTGAAACAGCAAACTATAATTACCAGTGTTCATGATTCGTACCTCCAATAAAGAATAGCTTTTCTGATATATTTGGAAGACTTCTAATATTATTCTTCACACTTGCAAAGAAATATTCTGCTGTCTTTGTAGACTCCCATAATCTCTGCCGTGCATAGCACAAGTCCTCTCATGACTCAGGTACTTTTGAAGTCATCTGGGTGATTAGTTGACTAGAATCATCAAGTACAAAGACGCCTTTGTCAATGACTTTTTGGCATTATATTTACAAGAAAGAAACATTTCCCCAGCCTCAGCATTTTGGTAGCTTTGATTGCACATTCTATCTTTATTTTCCCTTCCAGCTGGATCATCTCTGTCCAGGCTTTATCCTTCGCTTCATTTTGTATTCTCATTTTTTTTCTCTTTTGCTTTATATTTGTACCTGAGATACTAATTCCATTTTCCTTTTAGAGAAAAAAGTAGAGTAGATGCATAAGTTCTGTGTTGAAGGCTAACAGAAATGAATTTTAGCCTTGTTTTCTATTAAAATGTATATCTATGCTCTAATCAGAAGTGATTAATTTGGGGGGAAAGATGAAGGATATTTTTTATTCAAGTCACAATATCAACAGCTCATTTAATTTATTTCCTCCTTAATCCTCATATTAACACATGTGCTTATGCAAAGTTAAAATAACTAATACCATATACATAATTTTAAAAACTTCATGGAAAATATCATTATGAGTTAATCTCTTCTGTGATAAGCATTTTGAATAAAAGTGCTGATCAGTACACATAAAATGAACAACCTATGAAAACAGGTTATTAAATAGTGTATTTTAATAAATCATGATGCATTGCCTCTCTTTTTAATAATTTCAAAACATGGAAATAAAATCTTGCCTTGCTATGTAATGCAGCATGAAAATCCAAATAAAAGCATAAAATTGCAAATTTGGCAAGAGAGTTTGAAGAAAGGAGTATAAAGGCTTACAAAATTTAAAACTCTGTAAGTGATTTTATACCACAGATGAATAAGAATTATATTGTTGACTGGAAAAAAAGCATATTGATTTACAAGTAGCCTACTTCTGTAATTTAAAGATGTTCGTGATGGCAGGTATACATCTGCTTTAATACCTATGGTTGAAGGTGACATTGATGAATGTATCTATGGATGAGTGAACCTGAAATGTAAAATCTCAGGACCTGCAGGTGTTTTCACCCTGCCTCCCACTTGCTTGGGTATTGTAATCACTCTGTGCAGTTTTGAATTGCACAACTTTGCTAAACTGAATGTTGTGTCTTTCAGATACTCTGTTATGTGCCAGGGTTATTTTTTTCTTCACCATCATGAGTAGCTTCCTATTGTTGGAGTTGTGGTTTAGGACATCCAGAAAATATGGCTTTTTCTAATTTTACATCCTTATTCTTGCCTGATTTTAAGTGTAAAGTCAATTCAGTTTTCAGATAGTTGCTTCATCTAGTTGTTGCTCAGATGAAGTAGAATGAAGACCTGATTGCCTTGAAATATAATATAAATATAGATTAGCAAATGGCATCCTTTTTTTTAATCAACTATCATTGTTAGAGTTTTAGGAATAGTCTAGTGAATTTATTGGAAATTCATGTTAGCTGTTAAAGTCTCAGTAGTCTTAGGCTACATTATCATTTAATTAGATGCAATATATAGCTGATTTAGAGGTCACCAATAGTTTCTGTAGCTCATGAAAATGGAGGTTGCACCAACATCAAATGTTGGACATACTTGGTTTTGAATTTCAAACTCACTAAAAATTAAGTTATTATATATGTACTCATAATACATATACCAGTCTATGACCATAGATATGTCTTAAAAATGCAACTGTTGATAAGTATAATGCTATAATAGAATAATACTTATATTATATATAATATAATAATAATCTTCCTTGAGGTATACATTACAATTATAAATTTAAAAATCCTCTTCATGTCTGAAAATACATTCATATACATTATCTTGTTTTGTTCTTTCCTAAATATAGACACTATTTGATAGGGAATATATAAGTACTTCATATGAAATTTCTAACTTAAAAGTTATTATCCATTTTCATGTTGAATCACTGACACTTTCTAGAAAAGCAGCTTTTTAAGGAGTTATGTTTTATGTAAGTTCATGTACTGGCAACGTGCAACTTTATTTTTTTGCCATCATATATTATGTAAGATAATTATGTAAACAGGACATGTAATATTCATTTTCAGATTTGATGTTAAGCCCACTAATTATGGACTATTGCCTATTTGATGTTATCTCTGAAGACTGTAGGCAGAAGTCAAAGAAGAAAGATAGTTTTGATAAACATGTGAAATAGCAATGGGCTAAAGTAAAGGACCCAGCATGCTTAGTGATCAAGTCAAGCCTGCAGGCTTAGCTGCAGACTAGATGGATAGAAAAGAAGTATATATATATTAGTGCGGATGAAGGGAGGAAGGAGAGATCAGGGGTTTTAGGTATTAGAATCCCAAGCTTTAAGTCTTCTTACACACATTTATCCACTTACTGCGCATTTGTATGCTTATCATCTGCTAGGCTCTCAATGTACTGGTGAATCAGATTGGTACAGAAAATACCTCAATACCATATTGTTTATTGAGGATGTCCCACAGTCAAGCAGATAATCAATGCATGTATGATATATTTTTGCAACGATGATAAATTGAGGTTCTGCTTGTAACAAGATAACTGAAGAGACTATCCAAGGGACTCACTCACAGAAAAAAAAAATCTTTTCTGAGGAAGTGGCATTAGAGGGAAACAGGGGAATGGTAAACATATAGAGTCAGAGGAGCAAAGAGATGTCCTGACAGAGAGGCAGCAGCATGTATTAGCTGAAAGTAGAAAAAAATGGCACACCCGTAGGTAGACCAGGTGGCTGGAACTCAGAAGTGAAGTGTAAAAATGAAGTTAAAGAAGGAGTCCAGAAGACTAGATAGAAGCACATCTAATTTTTTTCAAAAGGTTTATTTTTTTTGAAACAAGAGAATCTACATTGTCTTTTTTTTTTTGAAATCTGAAAGCATTTTTAAGTTTGAAATTTTTTTTATATGCTACAATAAAGAGAGGCTGAATCCCTTAAAATCAATCAACGGATTAACATTGAAATATGGAAGTGAAGCCAAGTAGCCTCTACCTCCACATTTACAGATTTCAAGTGCAATGCATTGACCTGTTAGAATGAAATAATAAAAAAAAAAAAAAACTGCAGAAAACCTACATTATCATGAGGTAAATCGTGGAAAGAAATCTTTAGCAATCCTACTTCTCATCATTTAAAAATTAGTATTTAAGGTAAAAGCAACCTGACATTTAAACACCTAAGATCTAATTGGCTACAGCCGAGATCTAATTGGATGCCTGAAAAAAACGATACATGCAAGCCTGTGTCTGTCTCCCAGCGTTTCCGAGCAAGAAGCTGGGAGAGCAGAAGCGAATTAAAATGCCTGTCACCTAGTAGATTCCGGACAGAGGGCAGTCTTTAAGACCCAGCGACTGTATTTGTCTGAAGAGGAAATGTTGCTTTTTGACAGATGAGAGAAATCCCCTTAGTGCTGGCTGTGGGAAGGGAGAAGTGAAGTCAGTCACCTGGTGGTGAAGGCCAGTAAAACAGCAAAGCGGGAGGAAAATTGCTGTCTCCCTCTCTCCTCTCTCCCTCTTTTCTCTCTGTGGGAGCAACCTCCTATTCTCCCAACTCTTTTAGCATAACCTTCAAAGGAGAACGGTCCCTTCAGACTTTATTACCGTCCTTTCCCCACTGAGAGAATACCTCTTAGCTACAAGACATTTTTTAAGTCTATGCAGGACTTCGGGGATTCAGTTATCTTGCCAGGGAAAATTGATGATTGCTAATGTCTGGGACTCACAGCGTGCTAAATTAGCTACCAGAGTATGCCTGACGGAGGAAGGCTTTTATCACATACTCTTCTCTCCAGTTTGAACACATTTGCTTGAATTTTGCCGCATGATGCTGTCCAGGGAAGCAGCTTTTTTTCTTGGGATGCAGCAACTCGCTGGTTTCTAAGCTTATTGCAGAAGAAGAAATAATCTGAAATAGAGTGGAATTTTTTCCCCCCTCCTCTGCTGGATTCGACTGAGCCGTGTTGGACCGCGGAAAAGATCACCTGTCCCTAAATCTTTGAAGAAGTAAAACAAAGTGAATTACCATTAGTATTTATTTATTTATATCATTTTTTTAAAACCGGCGGAGGCGGCGAGACCACGGAGAATGAGACTGAGAGAAGCTGCCGGGGCTTGGAGGAGGATAAAGCTGAGTTTCAGCTGGAAACTAAAAGACTAGATCGGTTCGGGGAGCAACTTGACCGGTTCCTCTCCACTTCCTTTAGTTTCGCTCCATGGATAGATCCACGGACCTGGACATCCAGGAGCTCAAGGTACGTGGTCCTGCGGCGGCGGCCGCGGCGGCGGCGGCGCTGGCTGCGCTGGCTTTCCGCTCTGCCGCGCTAGCATCCCGGGCTCTGCCCGCCGCTTCCCGGCGTCGCTGGAGTAGTCGCCGGTCCCGCGGGACGGCGAGGGGGCATCTGGGGCGGGGTGTCCCCCGGCGCAGCGCCCCTCCCAGGGCCGCGGACACGCAGGCGGCTGTCCCTTGCCCTCCCGCGCGGGGCTGCCCTCCGCGCCGTGGCTCCCGCCGGAGGCCACCCGCTCGCTGTCCTCGCGGGTGGTTAGTGGCATCTGGGCTGCAGGACCCGAGGCTCCTCGGTGCCCCGGACCTGGCTCGCGGAGGCGGAGGCCGCCCCCCATCCCCATCCCCAGGCCCAGCCCCCGCCCCCCAATCTCTACTCGAGGTCGCCCGCTTTCGCGGCAAAGTTGTCCGAGATGCGCGGCGGCCACTTTGCCTCCGGTCCCCGCCCGTCGCTCTCCTGTCCCGCTCCTGCCCCCGCGCGACACCGGGACAGCCTGTTTCCCTTGGCTAATTCGCTGCACAGAGGTGTTGGTGGCCACCGCGAGGCAGGGACCCCTTTCTCCCATCGCCGCCCACACCATTTCCCTCTTGATGGCCACTGCCTTGGGCGCGAAGGGGTGGAGGGGATCATCCAGGGGGCGCACAGGGCGAGAGGAGAGACTTAGGGATCCCCTGCTGGCCTGTCTCCACCAGCTGCACAGACCGACAGACCTGCTAATCCTATAACCAGGCCGGGTCTGAGGAACTGGGGAAGGGGTGACTCTGGGTGGAAGCAAGTCGAGAGGGGGCGGGGCGCCCCTCCCCGCCCAACCTCCGGGGTCGGAGGACACCCCCCCTCCGCCCTGGTGGAGTCTGTGGTTGCACCCCATGTGGTGCCTGCCCTTTTGTACCTTTGCTCTACCAGTCCTGAAGTGGCCCCAGAGCACCCAGGTCACCAATTTACCACTCTGCTTGTGGGTATCTCTGCCTGCAGGGCCAGTGCAAAAAGAGAGAACTTAAAAACCAACAAATCGCAAAATAATTTAAACGTCCCGCTCACTGGTAGATGATAATGCTGAGAGAGACTTGGGAGCATTAAATTACATCAAATTATAAACATACATAATACATACATACACACATATATATGTATGTGTCCATCCTACCTTCCCCCCAGGCATTTGTACACTACCATTCTGCTTAGGGTGTTTTTGCTAGAGATTTACATGTAAGGACTCTGTCCAGGTAAGGACTTTTTCGACTTTCCTTCCTGCTTGGAAAATATGACCAGCAGAGATTTGCTGAGAAGTGTCAGGGAAATGGGTCTGTTGAAGAGGCTGGCTGAGGGCTGGGAAATCCCCTGCAGCCTGCTGTCTGCCAGCATCACTAAGCCTGTCCAGCTCCAGTGGGTACTCATGTCTCCTGGTGGTTCCCAAGCCACAGGGGAAGGAAGCTGGTAGAGCCTAGAGCCCTCTGGTGCCCGCCTGCACATGTAGCTCCAGGGAGCCTGGGCTGTTTGAAGACACTTTAGACAAAAAATACTTCAGTCCAACTTTCTGGGTTCCTTGGAGGACATGAAGTGGGATAGAGGCAGGCTCTAATGTTCCAGTTAAAGTTGGCAAACAAGTTCCTGTGATTTGGCCAAGGTCACAATCAATAGACCTTAGCCTGGATGGAAAAGTCCTGTTATCCCTGTATTGTACCAAGACAGGACACATTGCCTTGTATTTGAAAAACACCACCACCACCACCACCAACAACAACAAAAAAACCAAAACCAAAAACAAAACAAAACAACAACAACAACAAAAAAATCCAAAACAAACAAACAAAAAACCCAACAAACCCTTGCTGCAGTTTCTAAACATCCCTGTGTTTTGGGAGAGAGAGTAGGCTTTACTTGAAAAGAATACAGGAATGTGATGTGTGTAGTATAGAGAACTGGGTACTTGCTAACTTTTTTTTTTCTAACAACAGGGAATGGTAGGAAAACCTGATTTGAGCGGATTGTTCCCCATGACACCCCTTAGGTTTCTAACGATGAATTCCTGGATACACAGACACGATATTGTTTAAAGGAACAAAAGCATCATGACCACTCTGGAAAGTTTTGTCGGTGGTTAGTCAAGGATCACAACTTAACCTTAGTGCTGCTATGCCTTAGCTGATGGTTCTCACAGCCACAGGGTACTAGACCGTATTGCTCGGGGAGCCCAGGGTAGAGGACTAGAAGGCTTTGATGGAAAGAGAGGGTTGAGGATGACTGGGAAAGAAAATGAAGGAATGCTAGAAGAAAGCTCTATTGAGGAAGCTAAGAAATTGTCTCAGGGGCACGCTTCTGTGAGGGTCAAAGCTGGCAATCGAGGCAAGTTGGGCAAGCCTTACTAGGAAACAGTTGATGCATCCATCAGATTTGTGTTGTCGGCTTTTGACCCCACCTTTGGAACACTTAACCCCTGAAAAACATGTGGTCTGTGGTGGCATCGCTTGTTGGAATGGCTTTCTTACAGCAGCGTCCACTGGCTTGGGTTTCTCAGATTACTTATGTTCAAATTATTCCGTGATGGCTCTATACTAGAAAACCCCCATTGTTTTTACTCTGTTGAAAAAGGAGTAAAAATGCTGAAGACACTTATTTGGGTGCATTATTTAATGTTTTGACTTTTTTTTTTACCCCTCCATTCCAATGGTCCTTTTACTAAGGCAAAGCTGCATACATAAACTTTAGTTTTGTGGTTGCTTTAATGTACCTGGATGATGTTGGCAGGGATTAGATACATAAACAAATGTATAGGATAGTATAATAATCTAATCTAGCTCAGTTTTAAATCAGCAGTATCATTAAATACAGCTGTCAACCTCAGGTTTTAAGAAAAGGATATTGTGTTTCTCATCATCTTTGTTTCAGGGTAAATTCCTTTCTTTTTATAACATTTGAAAAGAATGTGTATGTATGTGTATATATTTGTGCTGTAAGTGTGGGCAATGGTATTTACAATATGTCGTAAAGTAAATAGAGTTTTCTGAAAAACTAAAGATTAGCCTCAATAATTAGATGTGAAATCATTGCTATCATTATCATAAATAGAACATACACCTTAAATGATTTATTGGTGGGTAATTGAGATAAAGTTATGTGCGTAAAACTTGTTAATGAAGGCAAGAATATTTTCCTCTTCTGTTTTACACACAAGCCACTGATAAAATAAATCAGTGGTAAAAAGGGATCCAGTTCCCAGCCAAAGAATTTTGGTCTGTTCTTTTCTCTTTGATCTGTTTCTTTTTGAATGTATAAACTTTGCTCTGGATTTTGCCTCAGTATTTGTTTTAAAGAAGAGACAACATCAAACAACCCAGAATATGGGTTGCTGCTTTGGAAATGTGGGAGTTAATGAATATTGATATTAGAAGGAGTATCGTCAGCCCTGTAATATCTCTAGTTACAGGGTATTGAGTGCCTCTGACCAGTTTGATAGGTGAATATTAACTCTGACTTGTATTGAGCTATACCGTTTTCCACTTTCAAACAACTTTTCTTACATCATAGGACAGAGCACCACCGATCCCCAGAGTGGACATGTTATAATATGTTCCCTATAAGGATAATTTATGATTATGAGACACTAAGTATGAATAAAGTATGGTAAAGAATATGAGCATTGAGCTTTAGAAGAACGGGTTCTATTTTCCTGTATAAGCATGTAGAAAGTTATGCTTTTAATTGCAAATAATCCATTCTTGAATAATTTCATTTTTACAGTTACATTTAATTTGAGCTTTTACTTATTTGTTTTCAAAATCTCATTAAAGAGAAAAACTGGTTAGAAGTCAAAACAAAATTTCTACCATTGGAACAGCCTGAGAACAGTGCTTCTATTTTAAAATTCTTTTCTAGGGACAAAATGGTAAATTATTTAGTTTATCCTGCTATGAATAAACCAACTTTTTAATAAGAATAATTTAATAGTTGGAGATAATGCAATAAAGATAGGTTAGAGTTGTTTAATGTTATCTCTTTAACACAATTTGTCAGCTAAGAACTTGAAACTTGACCTATATAGGCAAGGCAAAACCCTCCCAGAATGATACAATTAGGTCATTAGGAAAGTATTGTATGGAAGGAAATGATTACATAGCAAAAACTTGCATATATTTAAACAAGTGGTTGATTCCAAAATACAGAAGTCTGTAACAAATACCATAGTACATTTGTCTACAATTGCATCAAATAAGAGAGCTGGCACTTAGATGAATTCTAAAAATGATTTTTTTGTTTCATCAATAAGACACTCAGCCCAGAAAAGTGGAGCTTGCTGCAGTGTGGGAGGCTTTGCAAGAGTGTAAGTAGGTGGTATTTTTTATGCTAGTCATTCCATAGTGAAAAATAGTACTCTCCAACACATGTCATATTTTTAGCAACTTGCTTTTTATATTCACACTTTTGGTTAAGAATAAAGAAACATACATGTGAACAGTGGCTTGTTTGACTTCTTTCACATCTTCAGGAAATGTAATTTCTCTTCAGTTATGTCCAGTTCCAACTTTTTGATAGCAAGAACTAGCCAGAGATTTAGGAGCAATTAACTTTGACTTTTAAAGTTAATATTATTTTAATTGGTATTAATTAGGCATAATTGTATGCCTTTGTGGGAAACAACATGATGTTTTAAGATTATGAGTTTAATATCAAGCTAATTTATGTTTCTTATCTCATTTTTTGTGGTGAGACATTTGAAATTTATGTTTATAAATTTTGTAAAATATATATGCAATTTTTATGAGTTATGATTTAGTTATGTCATAATGTATACATAGTGAAATATGCATACAAAACATCATGAAGTTATATATATATGTGTGTGTGTGTGTGTATTTGTTTTTTGTCAATTCAAAAATAAAATTTCTGAAAAAGGGTAGATATAGGGTATTCTAGTAAGTAGAATTATTGAAGAGTGAAATTCTCCCATCTCTTTCATGTATAGGAATTACTAT